AAAATAAATCATTTTTAAATCTTTTTTTACTGTATATGCCTCCCCATGGCCTAAAGGCTATTATAGTAAAGTTTGTTTGAGTTTTTTTATGCTTTGTGATAAGGCTTTTAAAAACCTTGTTACCTCAAACAAGTTTTTTTTATATTATTTGTCTTTTTTTTCCTACTACAACTTAGATTTCATTTTTAAAAAAAATTTTTATGATTATTACAGTTACTCTTGCTTTAATTTCCTCTGCTAAATGTATGTTTAATTTTCTCTGCTAAATGTATGTTAATTTCCTCTGCTAAATGTATGTTTAATTTCCTCTGCTAAATGTATGTTTAATTTCCTCTGCTAAATGTATGTTTAATTTCCTCTGCTAAATGTATGTTTAATTTCCTCTGCTAAATGTATGTTTAATTTCCTCTGCTAAATGTATGTTTAATTACCTCTGCTAAATGCATGTTTAATTTCCTTCGCTAAATGTATGAATATAACAAAACAAAAAGATTTTTTTTTTTTTGTTATGTTGTTATAACCTGTTCTCAATGCTATGATACTAAAATAAAAACTTTGTTATACAAGACTGCTGTACTAAAAAATAAGTTAAACCCAGTATTACCATGGATAAGATTAGGTTTTTACTCTGTACTTCTTGATTTTAAAGTGAGAAATTATTCAAAGCCAGTAATGGTTTTAATTTTGTTGTTATTTTAACTTAAATAGTGTTCACTTCTTAATTATTAAAAAATCTTCTTAATTAGTTTGAGTAATTAATTTTATTTTAAGTTAACTTGTAATTTAAAAAAGAGTTTTTGTTTTAATTGTGTTGCACCTCTTTACATTCAGTATAGTTCTAGAATTATAAATAGAACTTATTATAATAGTTTTTTTATGTGCTATTACAAGTATATATATATTTTTTTGATTCTAAAATGGTCTATTTTGTATAATAAATAGTCTGTTTTGTATTTAATAGTGTGTGTGTGTGTGTGTATTATATAATAAATATTGTATAAATTAGGGCTGCCTATTTCAACTTTTTTTAAAAAGTTCAAACTCAAACACTTTTGAACTATTTAGGATAAAAGTTTGAACTTTTTCGAACTTTTTTTAATAGTCTTTTATTTATTTTAAATTAAAAGCAAAAGCGTACATGTAAAACACACAACTGTCTATATACTTATAAAGACTTTTTATTTGTTTATAAAAAGTAAATGCAAGGTATCATCCTGCAACCAGTTTCCTTTTCTATGCGAAAACAATCCAAGGCTAGAGAGCCCTTTCACGAGATCATGCCATTTTAAAATCATATGTTTTAATAAAGCATTTTTGGTTCCTTGCTTGAATCAATTCTTTTATTATAATTTCTAATATCGTTACAATTTTTGACTTTTTTATTAACATCGAGTCTACCTCTCTAAGCTGGAATAATCTTTAAATAAAATTAATTTGCAAAATTATCTATATTATTTATTTTTGTTCTCAAACTGATTACCTTGATTTAAAACAATTGGGTTTAACAAATATATCATTTTTGTGTACTAAATTATTATTTTATTAATTTAATTTTTATTGATGTTGTTTCATTTAAGAGCCTCTATTGTGTGTTTATTTTTTAGTATCTTGTAATAGTGCATGTTGAGGCACATTTTCTCGTTGCAGCTTTTGGCAACCAATGAAAATACTCCTAAACTTAAGATCTTCTAGATGTGCTAACGCTAAGTAGCCATTTTATGTTTGAACTTTAAACTCTTTATAATTTTAATTTCAAACGTAAATAAACAGTGGTCAAATAATGAAAGAGTACCAGCCACTGTTTAATCACTTTTTGATAGGAAAAAATCGATCCTACCTTAAATGCGGTGGCACTACAGGTACATGTAATTTTGATTATATTTTTAGAATTGCAAGACAAACACAAAACAAAACAAAAAAAGTATTGTATTAATTGTTAATATCTTGAACAAGCGAGTTGTTTAAAAAAATAAAAGATTGCTCAGAATCTATTTTGTATAAGATTAGATATTCTAAAATTGTTCCGATGTTGCGAGTTTCAAAACAATTTTTTTTTATTTACTGAAAGCTAAATTCTCTCTACCCATTTTTTGTTTGTAAAATTTTTCTTTTTCTAATTTTGTAAATAGATTTTTATGAATAGAATTATTTTTGTTTTGTTAGTTAAAATAATTTGATAATTATTTTCAATATATAAGGCAAACAAGAAGCTGTTGATGCAACAATTGAAACATTAAAAGTTGTAGAGGGTCCACTTAGTCAATGGTCTTGTGTAATGGTAGACATTTGTGCTTATGCTGGTAGGGATAACTTTAGTTTTAAATAATGATTGAAATAATTAGTTATGTTCAATTTTTATTGAAAGGTTTTTTTTTATATATATATAAAATAGGTACTGGTAATGTTTTAAAGATTCAAAATCTTCTTCATATTTGCTCTGAACACTATGAAACAGATAAAGAAGAAGACAAAAAAAAAGAAGACAAAGTTGATGCAAATAAAAAAACAGATAAAAAAAGTGATTCAGATCAAAAAGATAATGAAAAAAAAGAAGATACAGTAACAAAAGATGGAGCTCATCAAGGAATTGCAGTGCTAGGAATCGCTGCAATAGCTATGGGCGAAGACATTGGTATTGAAATGGCAATGAGAGCATTTAATCATTTGGTCAGATATTTTTTCTTTAGTTTTAAGTCTAAACATTAAAAAAAAATACTTGAAATTTGAAAAAAAATGTGATAAACTTCAAATAATTTCTGAAATATTAAAAAATCTGTTAACAACATTGTTTTTACTGGTAGCTTCAATATGGTGAACCAGCAATCAAAAGAGCTGTTCCCTTAGGTTTGGCTCTTTTGTCAGCCTCTAATCCTAAGCTGACTGTAACGGATATATTGAGCAAGCTTTCACATGATCATGATGCAGAAGTTGCTTATAATTCAATCTTTGCAATGGGAATAGTTGGCGCTGGTATGCTTTTTATTTGTTTAATAAGTGTTTATGGTTTATATTTATATGTTAATTTTTTTTTTTTTCAGAGGTATTTTTTAAGAAATACAACAATACAAAATGATGCATTGTTATTTAATTTTTCATGTTATAACTCTTTTGTTTTATCCTACAAAGTTTACTCAAGCTTTACTCTGAGTTCTTTTCAAAGTTTTTTTTACTTAAATTATTTTGTAAAATCATGCATATAAAGTCACAAAAGTAAGTTTTCAATTGTTTATTTTATATCAATTGATAATAAAATATTTTTTGGCAATATTTAGCCTCTTAATCATTGCTTAATTTTAGTGTGCATTAGTTTCAGCGTCAGGTTATTTTTAAAAATTATAATTGTTAGGTAGAGCTAACAAATAGTCAAAAGTAACCTTAAATAGCATAAAAAACATAATTACTATCATTACAAACTAAATGTGCAATTTAAAATCAATATTTTAAAAAGTTTGATATTTATTAAAGCATAGCACAACACGTACCCCAACATCACATTAGGCACCAAATTAGGGTGATTCTTTTAATGGTTTATTTGGTTTATTAAAACACACTAAACAACTTTATGTAGCATTGTCATTATTTGCAGTAGCCAGTATCATATTTAAGTAATCATTCGACTCTGTAAGAATAAAGCTTTCTAGTGCTGGATCTATGAATCAGTATGGTGGGTACACTGCATAGATCAAAAATAGACTTCATTTGTATTCCATTTAATGCAGTTTGATAAACATAATTTGAAAATATAGAGCATCAAATATATCATTCTTGTTATATTCTGTTGTAAACAGTTCTTGTTATGTTTTGTTGTTTTTTAATAGTTAGAACAACAACAACATTACAAATGGTTTCTGCATTTATATTAAAATGCAGGAACTAATTGTTATGTTGTTGTTGTTCTAACTATTAAATTATTTATTTTTTTGTAACAAAAAATTTTAAAATCAACTATATTTAATTTTATTACTATAAGGGTATATCCTTGAGTTATTTTTATTTTATTTAATGTCAATAACATTTTCTAAATAGTTTTTACTAAGAATAGTTCTTACTAGTAATCCACACATCTAAATAACTGGAGACTTTTTTTTCACAAATCAAAGGTTCAAATAATGCTCGACTTGCAAATATGTTGCGACAGTTGGCATTGTATTACCATAAAGATGCAAACAACTTGTTTATTGTGAGAATTGCACAGGTATTCATTTTCAAAATTTACAGCATATAAGTTTATTTACATTAATTTATTATTAAGTAATATAATAAGATTTAAAAAGTTTCTTTCCATATTACAATTTATTATCACTATAATATAACATATGATGAGTAGCAATTTAAAATATTTCTAACTTTCAACTTTTTTTTTTAATTATTTGCTTCTCTTTTATCTTTTTCACCACAGTTATTCCAAAATTTCTAGGACATTTTAATTTCAATAATAGGACAGTTAAACAATATTGTTTTCCCTTTAAAGTAATATTTATGTGTGGTAAATCATTAAACAAAAACAAAAAATCTTTATCTACAATTTTCTTGTAAAAGAGCAGAAAGTAAATTTTGTATAAATAAAAAAACATGCTTTGATTAAAAATTCTATAGCGTAAATATGGTGCACATTTTACATGAAGCCAGGAATAGCATTTTTCTGCAGAAAATTAATTAATTATAATTTTTTTAATTAAGTATCACTTGACATTTATTCATTTTAACATTTTCTAGTTTTCCTGAAAGTTGTAATTTTGTAATAATTACAACTTTTAGGAAAACCAAAAAATCCCAAATAAAAGCATAAATCCTTTAAAAAACAGGACAGATATTATTCATTATATTAAAAATTACCTAAAAAAAAAATTAAAAAGTGGACTTATTCACACTACTTTTAAATGTTTCGTATATCTATAAAGTTCTTTGTTACCCAACCATCTAATTTTTGTCAAAAAAATTTGATATTGTGTAATGGTTTAATCAAGATTATGCATTCTTTGAAAACTATATTAACTAATGTAAACTTTATTGCGATATAAGTCACTTTAAAGAAATTAAAAAATGATTAAAACTCGTTATAATGATAAATCTAATAAATAAAACTTATTAATAAAGAAATAATACGTTTACATAATTTTGATAGTTTTAATGTGATTAACATAAATCTTGAAAACTAATATAAAATATATGTTGTATGCATAGGTTTTAACAGCTTTTATGTATATTGTAGGGTTTAGTTCATCTTGGTAAAGGTTTACATAATTTTGATAGTTTTAATGTAATTATAAATCTTGAAAACTAATATAAAATATATGTTGTATGCATAGGTTTTAACAGCTTTTATGCATATTGTAGGGTTTAGTTCATCTTGGTAAAGGTACTCTTACTCTTAGCCCATATCAGTATGATCGAACTTATATGTCACCTGTTGCAGTTGGTGGTTTAATTTCAACCCTTGTTTCTTTTTTTGATGTTAAACAGAGTAAGTTTATCTTTTTATGTATTTATTTTATATTTTTTACTGAAAGTTAAAAGATACTTTAATGTATATTAACTAGAAAATACCCCAAGTCGATCAATATCACACACTAAAAATTTAAATATTTTGAGTGTATGAATAGAGTTATTTTTAAAAAGATGGACTGAAGAATATAAGACTTTGTTTTTTTCATACCCGCTCCCAGTTTTATAAGGGCTATCAGTATCATATATATATCAGTGTTAACCGTTACACTCACCCCCCCCCCTCCTGTTCATATCCAACTATTTTTCAATTTTGTATAGTTTTTTATTTATAGTATTGTATACTTTTTAAATACTTTTTTCATAAATTCTTCATATAACAAAATAATAGTTTTGTTTGAAGCAAACACTTTATGAGCTTTAATTAATCCTTAGTCTTTTGCATTATCTTACGTTTTCATCAGAAATAAATTAAAGTTCTTAGTAATCACATTTAAAACACCAAAGGTTTTTTTTAATTATAAGTTTTGTCGTTATATTTGAGTATAATGTGACATTTATACTGAGCATAAAAACTTTGGTGCTGAACAACTGCTGTACCATCAAAGTTCTATTTTATCTATTTTTCTAACGTAAGTTTTAAATTATTTTCAACGAAAATATAGTTAAACTAATGCCTCGTTTTAGCGATTTTGGGAAAATCTCACTATTTATTATATTGTCTTGTCGCTTCAATGCAACCTCGTATGTTAGTAACACTTGATAAAGATTTAAAGCCTGTTCCTGTGCAAGTTAGAGTTGGACAGGTAATTTTTAAATTATGTAATTATTATTTTTATTATTTTATTTTTATTTTAGTTTTTATTTACTAATTAAACTTTAGGCTGTTGATGTTGTTGGACAAGCTGGAAAACCGAAATCAATTACAGGGTTCCAGACCCACACCACACCTGTTTTATTGGCTCATGGCGAACGTGCTGAGCTTGCCACTGAGGAATGTATCTTTTTTAAATTTAGTTTTTTATCTCTTTTATTTAAGTTATAATATTGATCTAACAATTTTAAGTCAAATTACTCCATGTCGAATCATTTATAACTTTTACTGCTTCACTTAAGATATATTAAGTTATGTAGATATTTTATTTTGAAATAATTAAAATTCCTTTTTAAAAAAAAAAAAGTTTAGAGCCATTAATTAAACGGGAGTTTAATTGTTGTGGTTCTGAAAAAGCTTTTTGAAGTAAATTTTTTTTTAGATGGTATATTGCTTTGAATTGAGTTTTGTCTAAAAAGATTTTAAATTTTCATACTCTAAGAATATTTTAACTTAATTTATAAGAACTTTATATCTAAATATTGTTTTACTCGAATAAAATTAAATCATTAAAACAGAAAAACTTTAATGGAAAATAAAAATTCACCTAAATTTTCAAATTTAGTTAGGGTTTGGATTACGATTATCGGTATTGCCATGATATTTTCCCAATGCTGGTTTATTGTATATACCAAACTTTTTTATGATATCATTAAATTATTATATGCAAAATCATCATTTGCGTGTTTGTATTTATATAGATGTGACCTTAACTAATTTAATAGATATAGCATTAACTCCTGTGTTGGAAGGTTTTGTTATTTGCGAAAAGAATAAAAACTATGACGTTGACGATGTTGCACTATAATACTACTATGTTTGATTAATGAAACCGTGGTTTCATTATGGTTCAAAAATTGTTCCTAAGTACCTGTTAAATCCATAGTAATCTACTTGTCTGACTTCAATAATAGTTTTAGAAACAGCAATAAATGTTTAAATGTTATATTTATTATATAAAAGCATAAAATCAACTCGAGAGTTTCTTAAAGATTTCCTTTCATTATACGCAATCTTAAGTTTTACATATATATATATATATATATATATATATATATATATATATATATATATATATATATATATATATATATATATATATATATATATATATATATATATATATATATATATATATATATATATATATATATATATATATATGCATTTTTCAGAGTTGAGACTTTTTCCACTTGAGAAGAGAACGTACTATATTTAAAACGTCAGTAGTGAGATCCATTTCTTTCAGTTTTTTTCCAACGCTTTAATTATCTCTCTCGGTCTCTTTGAAAGTGGCTTTATACATTCAATTCAAGCGCTCTATCTTATCTGTGAAATTTGGTATAAAGAAAGGCCACCAAGATCCTGAAAATTTAGTACAAAAGCTAAGGATGCGCCGAACGTTCGGCTGTTTTGCCGAACGTTCGGTTTGGCCAAACATGCAAAATTTTGAAAATATCATGTTTTTTTAGATTAGACTTCAAATTTATCTCATTTAAACCGTTTCTGGTAGCTGCGGCAAAATAAGCTTAATTTTGATATAAAATTTAGTTATTTACTTTATTATATTATTATTTTTATTAATGTATTTAATTCAAACATGTACGTATAAATAAGCACAAGATCTAAATAAAGAGTAATTAAAAAAGTACATCTACAGTCATGGACAATAATCCATCATTGGGGTAGTCCTATTATTCTGTTAACCGAACCAATTGAAATTTATTTACAAAACTAGCTGCTTCGTGTAATTCCTCCTCTGACATTTTTTGGTAGTTAAAATAAAGAAAGCTAAAGGTTTCTGAAAAAATCTGTTTTACAGCGCTAAAAAGAATTGTAAGTCCTCCAAAAACACATAATGTTACATAAAAAATTTGTTTTTAGAATTAGGATTTCGAGGGAGATTTGCCTACTACACTTATTTTACTCATATTCTTATCGTGGAATTTTTTTCTGCTATCGTTCCTAAAGAATTTTATTTAAATATCAAGGCTAGATGTAACAAGCTTAGCTTCATTCAACATTGCTTTCCAATTTTTACGAATAGCTACTAATTGTAAAAGTAAATTTTTTTTACTTTCTATATTTGAAACCTCCAGCTCTAAAGTTGCATCACTGGCTTGAATGACTTTGTTGCAAATGTCAATAAAAATTGATATTCTGTGCCACACGAGTCTCGATTCTAGTTTTTAATGTAAGATTTAGCTGGAGCAAGTCTAAAAAAGCCAGTTTTACTCCTGGAAGGTGAGCTACAAATGGTTTGACACTCTCTTTTCGATCTGACTACCTGCCAGATATGACCTGAAAGAAACAATACGCTTAGATAATACTTCCCACCTTATCGGACAACACGTGAATAAGGTGTATATATTTTGCATAGTTCCGAAGTTAGCTATGGCTAGAGGAATACATTCAGTTGAGACAGACAGTTATTTTGTTATAGCTTGTGCCTCATTGTATTTGCCTGATATATTTGACACATTGTCATAACTATGAGCTCTTAAAACAGCTCATGGAATAATATTGCTTTCTAACGTTTTTGTAATCATTTGAGCAATTTCAGAACCATTTTTGTCACTACAATCTATAAATTTCAAAAATCGTTCCACAATTTCATAATGCGATTCATGGAGAGCTAGGTAACGTAAAATAAATATTGTTTGCTCAAAATGTGATAAATCTGCTTCATATTCTACAATTATTGCGTAATACTTTGCAGAATGTCTTCGTCCAAAAACATTCTGCTGTAAACTCATTTTGGTAATTATTTGAGAGGTAATGTAAGTGCAGTCTTTCGCATATAGCATGTTTGCAATAGCATGTTCCTTTAAAATAGGGTCCCAGTTAGAAAACAACTTTATCAGACCTAAAAAGTCTCCATTATTTGAGTCACCAATGCTATGCAAAGTTCCCTGAAAAGCGAGGCTACGTTTTCCTATAAAAATTATATAATCAATAATTCTTCCCAAAATATGGTACCATTTTCTGATTCCACTTTAATTGGTGATTCAATAAAATTATTAATACCGCCTTGCATTGAAAGACGTTCTAATATATGCTATGCTAGATAACTTCGCTTACGGTATACTAAGAACGAGTTAGTATACTGTAAGCGAAGACTAACCGATGAGAAGTTTTTTAGTTGCGGTGTAATGCCTTTCTTTCTATTAGTAACTAACCACTACTTTGCATTTATAAAACCGCATTTACTAAACTAATATAGGCCCTGGTGCGGCGCACCCCTCTTATATGACCTGGTTTTCACTTCAATAATTAACATTTATATTTAATAACGAGTTCAATAACTAACTAATGTTTATATTAAAAACTAGCAATAGTACGGTTGCCGACTGTTCGGAAATAGCAAAATATGACCGAACGTTCGGATTCGGTGTTCGACCAAAAATCGGATTCGGCGAATCCCTAATAAAAGACATTTCCAAAGTATGACTTAGCCTGTCATACTTTGAAAATGTTTAGCTTGTTTACTGTGTGAACAAGCTAGACATTTCCAAAGTATGACAGGCTAGACATTTTGGAAATGTCTAGCTTATCATCATTTGTCAAAAATGTCTAGACTGTTCACACAGTGAACAGGCTAGACATTTTGAAAATGTCTAGCTTGTTCAATGTGTGAACAGTCCGGCGTTCATTCCGTTATGATAGGGTAGTAGATGGCCTGATGTATTTTTTTTTTAGCCTTTAAAGTTTCATTAATTTCCCACACTCTCCAAAAACTCATTTTGCGAACGCCAAGATAAATAGTGGAACTGTGTACGCTTCTCTTCTTTTTCTTTTTCAGCAACTGCTTTCAAGTGATCCGAAAGTGTTTTGTTGTGTTCAGCAACCAATTCTATAGCGCCGAGAAAATTACTGTTTCCATCCTGATAGAACTTAAGATTAGATCCTTGTTATAGAATATTAAATTTTAATTAATGAAAGGTGAAAAGAGACTGAAAAAGAGTTTATAATAATTTTTAAAATATCAAAATACCTCTGAATGCAAGATTTCTTGATGCAAAAAATAAAGTAACTTGAATGATGCAACGGAAAATATCTTTTCAGCGCTCAGTTTTCTTTGCAATAACTTTCTCCAGGCTTGAATCAATCTCTATATAGTTGCGCATGTTGTTTAGTGCTGCGTTCCATTCTAAATACGTTTGATGATAGAGGCTACACGATTGATGAGACTTGACTAGTTTCCTCCAATTATATTTGATACCACCTTTCCAGAATAACAACGACGACATGTTGTTCTTATGTGGGTCATAAGGCGATCCAGATAGTGAAAAAGAGAAGCAGAAAAGGAAGGCTGCCCATTCACTCCATACAAGCCAGTTTTTTTTCAGTTTCTCCCCATTTTGCAACACTTTAGTAAATACTGATGTTGTAAAGATGTGGTACATTAAATCCCTTGGATGGTCTGCATGAGTTAAAGAAGGGCCTATCAAAACGATGGTATCTCTATCTTTATTTGATAAAGCAGTCCAAAGATCTGGGTCGTTCGATACGTGATTGGTTAAAATGGTCTAAAGTTTGTAAATAAAAATGAAAACATAAAACATATTTGAAATAGTTTCTAAAAATATTGGCATTTTATACAAAGCTCGAAATTATCTAAACAAAAAAAACTTAACCCAGCTCTATTATTCATTTATACATAATTATATAAATTATGCAATCATAGCCTGGGGAAGTACGGAGAAAAGTAAATTACAACATCTTTATCGCCGTCAGAAACATGCAATCCGTGTAGTTAATTATGCGGATCGCTTTTCACGTTCGAAATAGTTTTTTGATTATATGAATGTACTAGATGTTTATAAACTTAACATATTTAATGTTTTATGTTTTACTTTTATGTGGAAAAACGATTTATCTTTATTTGTTTTCAATGACCTTTTTTCTTTAAAACCAATAAATAAATACACATTAAGAAGTAATAGTTTTCTAAATGAACCATTTTGTAAAACGAAGTTCAACCAATTCTGTATTGCATATCGTGCACCCCATCTTTGGAATAAAATAGTATTACCAAATTTTGACCCTTCTACTACTCTTCCTGTTTTTAAAACTAAATTAAAAAACTTCATTCTCTGTATGGACAACATTCTAAAATTCTACTAAAAATTTATGTAAAATGTATTTTTCAAATCTTCAGCATATTGAGTATTAAAATGTTAGTATATTGTATATTTGCATTATGTTATATTGTATTAGTATATTGCATATTTGCATTATGTTAAATCTTTGCATTATGTCTTTTTTAAGGTTCCGGTGATAAGATCCTTCTGATCTTCTTTCGGAAACCTAGTCTTATATTGTTAGTACGCTGAATTGTATATACATATATATATATATATATATATACTCATTTTTTTTTTTCTTTTCTTGTAGAAGTCTTAAATATTTTTATGTATCAGACTTATATTATTATACATCACGACTTATATTATTATATATGTATCAGACTTATATTATTATATATCACGACTTATATTATTTTGTATCACGACTAACATTGTAAACTAAAAAAAAAAAAAAAAAAAAAAAAAAAAAAAAAAAAAAATAATAGAACTTTTTGAATTATAGAAGAATGTTATTCCTGCAGAAATGTCATCGTTTTTGAAGAGGATGGCTTAATAGTCCTAAGTAGCTACAGTTAGCTTGGCCTGTTCAGTTTCACTGTCGATTACCACATACATCTCTTGATCTTCATTTAAATGATTATCAGAAGGACTAACTTGGCTCTGGCGCACAGAATACACTGAACTAACACTCCAACTATCCTTACTCAATAGTTGTGATTTGTAAGAGAGATGTGTTGGATCACTACTGCGTTCAGAATCAGATTCAACTCTTAAAGCCTATAAAAAGAAATATATTTGAACATATCACTAATATATTATTTGACATTAAAAACAATCAAGCAAGAATGTTATCTGATTACTATACAAAATGAGAAAAAGTCTAG